TTTTTTAATGTGTAATGTTTAATTAATTGTTAGTTGAAATTGTTATTTGTTAATCAAATAATATATAATATAATAATATTGTAATATAAATAATATATTATACATATTATATTAATCGGGGCCGAGGCGAGGCAGGGATTGCATTCCCCACCCCCACCCCCGTCCCCGTCTCCATCCCTGTCCCCGGTCAGGGATTCAATGTTAGTCCCATCCCCGACCCTGACTCCGCCAAAGCACTCCCCATACCTGGCCCCACCGAGTCAGGGAGCCCGAATACCCATCGGGGACGAGGAAAATTGCCATCTCTAATACCATATCTTTCCGGTATGATAGTCGAACCCAAACATGGTAAAACACCTGTCGCACACTGAATGGTAGTGATGGAAAAAAGTGTAGCAGATCCAGACCCAATAAAGTAAACTATCATTTCCTCCTGTTCTCCCCCCTTATTCTCCCATGCTTACATTATTCCTCGATTTCCGTCTTACATCCAGAAAAAGAATTTTCAAGGAACAATAAGGATAATTAAACTTGTAATGTTAATTTCATCAGCAGGGCAAGCTAAGCACACCCAAGCTTGGCTAAGTTTCATAAACCATAGGAGCTCAGATGCAGGCATGCGCTCAGTTCATGCACAACCACAACCCTAATTTCTTCTAAGTCAGGATGACAAAAGAGGTGGCTCCACAGTGATGGGAAAAAATAAATATTGAAGGGGCGTTCTTTTTTTGGATTTTGAGAGGGGGAAAGTTGGTCAATGGGTCTCATTGACCAAGAATCCTATGTTCTTTTCAGATTTATGTAGGGGGTAAGTGATACCCATCTCTTAGGTGGGTAAATAACTTTCACACCTAGGAGAAGAAGTTGCCAACACTTGAATGAGACAAAAATTCCCCTTTTAATAATGGATTTTTATGGCTAAAATGATCATTGCCTTTTTTACATGAGAAATAAAAGAACATGGATAAATGCACTTACCCGGGTAAGTGTTTTCTAGGTAAACCTGGGTAAGTAACTTACCGAAAAGCGAACGGGGCCTGAGAGTTTTGGAGTTTTGTATTTCAAATAATTGATATTCTACTATTGTGTTCTTTATTGCCTTCAATAACTTTCTTCCATGAGCTAAATATGAAAAACTTTATCCTTTTCTTCTTATTCTTTGGATTTCATTGCGTTGATGTGAATTTTTTTTAAGCCAACTGGTTAGACTTCATTGATCAATGCTCAGATTACAAGAAACATGCACACAGACTAAACAACACCCGAGAGACCCAATACAAGAAAAAGAAAGAGAGTGACAAACAAGAAATCCTACTTCACTAAACAAATGGTTGAATTTATCTACAAATGGTTCCTTCTAATTAGGGGTAAAAACGAATCAAATTTAAATTCGATTAGATATTCAAATATTCAATTTGATTGAATTTCGATCAATTAATTAATTTAGGTAATAAATATATAAAATAAATATTTTATTTATATAAAATATATAAATATATAAATTATTTATATAATTAATTATTATATAAAATATTTAAATATTTTATATATTGTATATAAGAATTAAATAATCGATCAAATTCGGATATTTATCGAACTGAATCAGATTATATCCGAATTCGACCGATTATATATTTAAATTATCCGAATTCGATTAGATTATATCAAATCTCGAATTCAAAATCAGATTTTCGAACACTGTTGACACCCCTAATTCTAACTACCCCTAGACTCTAGGGGTGATTATGAGCCATGACAGGCTGGGATTTAGGCCTCTATAATTAATTTATATATGTTAATTTATATAGGGCTGCATATGGATCAAATTGGATTAGGCAAAGGGTATATCCATTCCAATTGGATAAAAATCTGACTGATCCAAATTCATTATGATTTGAATTCAAATTCAGATATCTTATCGGATATCCAATTAAAATCTGATTCAATTGGATTATAGTAAAAAACATGGTGATATAATATAAATAATATATTACATTATTTATCCACTATATGATTATATAAATAATATATATAAAATATACATATATAATATTTCATATCTAATAGAGCAGGTCAGGTGGTGGCAGATCAGAATGGAGTATATTCGGTTTGATCCATTAATTAAACAGATCGACTTTTCCAATTCAACCCAATTTGTTAAGATAAAGGGAGGTATCCAAATCTGGCTTTTACTAGATCAAATTTAGATTCAAATCAAATCTGATAAGACTTATTTGTAGCCCTAAATTTAAATAAATATAAAATATTTTATCATTTATATAATATTTATATATTATATATAAATGTATTGCTGGCCGGGCCTGGATGGAAGTGATCATTACTAGTGGGTTTTGCAATATAGTTTCAATTATATAAAATTGAAAACCTTGAAAACCCTATTTCAGTGAAATTACATTAAGTTTGTTAGTCAGTTTTGGATACAGTTAATTGAAAACATTAAATTTCATAGGGATTTGTGGCCATACAAATAAAATGCCGGATTGCATTAAATCTTGGATGTGCTTTTGTTGCTGTTTTTATTCGACTCACTATTATATCTAACCCTAATTCTCAATTGATTCTGAAGAATTTATTTCTAAAAATAATAGTCTGCATACGCATATGTTTCATCAGATGAAGCAATGATCTGATTAATAACCAATTATAGTTAAATGGATATTTGAATCTGGCCTAAATCTAAAATTATTGAGTCCAATCCATTTATAGTCTAATAAGGGAGGTATGCGATTAGACCTGTTTACAGGCTGGGCTTTGGGTTTGGACTTCAAATTGGGTTTATTCCACTGTTTTCAAAATCGGATTGGATCGGACAGTTGGACCGGAAAAATCAGGGGTTTCATTTTCCTCTAAAACCGTTTTTTCCCTTAAAACCGTTGATTTTGATCAGCAAACCGTTGAACCGTCGAAAGATTTTGACCGTTTTACAATATTTTAAATTTTTTAATTTTTTTGTCAAAACGGTTGAACCATTCAAATCAATAACCGAACCCCTGACCAGTTTGTTTTAAAAACCATGGTTTATTCAAAATTTTACAAAAGTCAACCGAATCCAATCCATAAATAGGCCTACCTGCAATGTTGTCAAACTTAGATTAGAAAGAGAACTGGAATGTTAACTGTACGGGTGCAATTTGGGCAGGTTAAGGTTGGAATTTTGTCAAAATTGCAATGAAGTCTAGTCTACCTGAACACCAAGCCTAAAACAGTGTAAAATATTAACTTTGACCAACCCGAATTAAACCCCTAGTGTTATGATTTTACCAGTTAATCTGGATAGTTAACTAATTCGAACCGTGAAAACCATTATTTAGCCATGGTCCAAAAAGGTCACTGGGTCCGTGATCACCGGTTCAGCCTCCCATTCTAGTCTAAGTCTGACAACCTTGCCAGCATCTGGTCCACCCATGAGATCAATTGAGCGAAGATCAAGTCCTAATTATATACTTTTTTTCCTGAATAAATTTGAAATGGCATAAAAGCTCTATTAAATTATTCCCCAATTTTTTCTCCAGAGTTGTTTATTAAGGCTGTGTTTGGTTACGGTGCAATTTTATTTGCACTAATACAAATGTATGGGAGTGCAAATGAAAAAAAATGTAAATTTTTATTTAATTTTGTTTTGGGTTTTACTTTATTCTGCTTCGTTTCTTAATTTACTTTATTTTTACTACAGTCAAACAAAATAAACTAAGATTTGAAACAAAAATAAATCAGAATTTACACTCGAATCATTTGCATTGCCATGATTTTGCATCAGTACAAATTTATTTGTATCGTAACCAAACACAGCGTAAAGGGTAATTTGCTAAGACGCCCCACACACTTTTACAGGTTTACTAAACCTATCCTATAATTGTGTTTTGCTAAAATCTCTCTTATAATTTGCAACTGATTTATTTAATCAACCTTCTTTCATACATAAGTGGACAATGATAGTTATTACGGCTCAGTTTGGAAAGAGTACAAATCAAATGCTATGTACAGTATAAATACATACAAAATAATACAAAATTTAAGATTTTGCACTCTATACATTTGCATTTGTACTCCTTCCAAACTAAGCCTAAGGAAAATGAAGTGCAACTCTTGCCCCTGATAAAACACAAGCAACCCACTCCATTCAATTCAATTATGTTTGGATTGTTTGCTGTTCAAAGAAGGAAGGTATGTTGCTGTTGTAGATTAAGATCTCGGACGCTATCACCATCTCTTCTTCATTTTGTCGAAACCAAGCATTGTTTGGTAGATATGAAAACTATACATTGTTTTTTTTTTTTTTTTTGTTCTGAAAAATAAACAGCCACTGGTTCATGAAAGAAGGTTGATTAAGTAAACCAGTTGCAAACATTATGGGGTGTTTTAGTAAAACACAAATTATAGGATAGGTTTAGGTAGAGTTCAGATCTGCATCCCACAACGTCTCACAATACATCCCTGCTGTGTATTGGAAACATCTCTTGATGATGACATCATCAGTTTTGGTATTATCTTTGGGAGATGTTCCCAATACATAGCGGGGATGCTGTGGGGCACAGATGTCCTCCCGTTTGAGTAAATCCTTAAGTATAGGAAGTATTATAGTAAATTACCCTTTATTAAATTATTCTTTTGGTTAATCATTTTCCCCTTTATGTGACCACATACTTCTACCAGTTCCATAGGCTTCTCGACCCTCTACCAATATAATCTCATACATAGCAGGTCCCAGTCTCATGATGAAACGTATGATATTAGATCAAATTGGTAGAGGATTGGAATGTGTCTTATTGGTAGATCTCAACTCTCTCAAAAGAAGGTCTCGGTATGGATTGGAAGTCACATTTTCTCCTCACAGAATGCACTTCACAGCACATCACATTTATGCATTGGCAACATCTTCTCACAAAAGACGATATGCAAGGAGATATTCTCAATGCACGACTGAAAACGCTGTATGATTCGCCAGTGTGTCTCCATCTATGAGTTTTGGGTTACTCCAGTTGAACGGTAACAGGCCAGCTTTACTTTGAAGGAAAGTAAGACACTAAAGGACATCTGATCGTCTCGTCACTGATCGATACAGTTGGCCTCTAAATCATTTGTTGATTTGTTGAGTTTGAAAAGAGGAATCAAGTAAACAAACAGAAATCAAAAGGAAAAACAAACAAGAGAGGTGTGTACAGGAAGTATGCATGCAATGGAATGTTGCTTCAAGCAATCAAATCACCTCAAACAACAGTTCGTCTGCTGCTTGGTTTCAGACACCTCGTCTAGATTGAGTATGGTTTTGCCAGCACTGGGTGTAGATGCTTCGTTCATCTTTGCCTCCAGCAGTTTTTTTCTTGTGATTTCATGGATTTGGTTGATCATTTGTAGGAACGCCTCTTCCACGTTCAAATTCTCCAGGGCAGATGTCTCCATGAAGCAGAGGCCTTCTCTCTCTGCAAGCTCTCGTCCTTCTTCTTCAGCTACTTCTCTTTTCTGACCCAGATCAGATTTGTTGCCCACCAACACAATCACCAAGTCTGAATCTCCAAACTCTCTGAGCTCGTCTATCCATTTTCTCAGATTGTTGAATGTTGCTCGTCGTGTTATGTCGTATACTAGCAAAGCACCCAAAGCTCCCCGGTAGTAAGAGCTGGTGATTGCTCTAAATCTGTAAATGAATAACGCTCACTTCAGAAGAGAGTAAAGGGACATCCTTTGGCCCCAAAAGAAAAACAAGAGAGCTAGTGATTTGGGCACATCTAATTTTTTTTTTTTTTTAATAAAAGGGCAAGACAACACACCCCCTACTCATTTCTCCAAGGGCACATGCATTAAAATACAGAAATACCCTATCCAATACAGATTTCTTTTGTCCTTTTTTCATATTTATAAAAAAATTGGATATGCCCTACTTACTCCCCTATAAAAAACGCAAAATAAAAAAATTGACTACTGGATTATTGGCTATGACAAATATATCAAAATTAGGATGTGCCCTAATGACCGGCCCTCTAAATTAGAGGCATCTCTTATATGAAAGTTAGGGCGCGCGATATGGCGGAATGACCAACCAAACTTTTGCCTTATATTTTCCATTTTAGGGCATTGACCCTTTCTAAATGGGGTTAGTACTACAGGGTGTTATAGAATTAGAGAGCCTTCATGAATGCTTGCAAAGCAATGGGTTCACCTTGAACTGAACACATGCTGTAAATGAAATCATTCCTATTCTCAGTAGGATTAGCATTCCTTAATGCAATATCTAAAGCCCCAATTGAAATTGACTCGAGTGTGGGCTGTCTTGCTTAAATGAGCTAAGCTTATAGCTTGGGGCTTGGTCCATTGGTTGCAGGCAACAGAAACCATTATGAAAACGATAGTTAACATTTTCTCTTGTGTAAAATGTAAGGGTGATTTGTCAAATAGCCATTGAATGAAAGACCCAGAAAATAGAGAGAGAGAGAGAGTCTGAATTTCTTAACCACGGCAACTCTATCCACACCTATTCACGTAACATCGCAGTCACACATGGACAACATCTCATCATCTTACATGCATGTCTTAATGCACGAAAGTAGCATTTTGTGAATAAGCATGGTAGAATTCTTGTGGATAGGAGATCTAGAGTGGAAGAGAGAAGAGTGCCAGAAAAGGGTAATTGGGGGAAGAAAAGCCAAATCAAGTTTATTTAAGAAATAGGACTCTAGCTTTGAAGTGGAAGCAAAGATAATTGAAACACATGGTAGGTTGGGTGGTCTTATCATCTATAACTTTTCAATGTGAATGTGAAAGAATGCCAACGATGTATTGATGATGCCTCACGAGTTAATGAATTAGTCCACCTTTTCTTAGCTGTCTAAGGTTTAGCTGCTTGATTTGATTACCATGTGGTAGGAACCAAAGTTCACCAACCTCTTAACTCTCTCTATACTTCTAATTTATGATATACAACTCAAATCTTGTTTATAAGTCACCGAGATTTTCATTTCAATGAACCCAAAAGCAAATTTCGTTATTATTACTTACTAGGAAAAGTGCTGCCTATTCTGATCCACCAAACATGTTTTTGTTACATGTGTTCATTCCTCTACATTTTGCCCTTTGACCTTGCATGTGGATTGCTCAATGCTTCAATTTTGTGACTCCAATTAAAAATGCTCAAGAAAAAAGGACATATTTTGAAATTTGAACACATAGCAAGGGAACATGTGGGGCCCTTTTGGGCCCCTAACTCTGCAGCCACATGGAAGACTTATTATTTTGGTAGTTTAAATTTGTTCCCCAAACAACCCACTAACAAACCCATTTTCTTTTTATGGTGGTGGTGGTTGCTATTATTATTATTTCATTTCTTTCCTGTGAACATCTCAAGTTCCTTTTGTTCTGATGATATAATATTTCTAGGTTTTCTTATTTTACTATAACAACCCAGTTAATTTAATTCCCACCTCAACAACATAACAAGTTAGTAGTTCAAGTACCTAAATTACCTGATACCTTAACAGGATCGACATCAGAAAATAGAAAAGTTGTAAACCGTAAGGATGAAATGAATCACAAACTAGCTAAATGTGATCAAGCTAACTTATGTTGCACTCTGGGACTTGAAACCCAGAAGAATTATTGCAGAAAAAAGGTCACTAGCTAATAGTTCAGCCAAAAGGAATGTCTCTACTGTATGTACCTTTCCCTATGTACTTTGATTTGAGTTTGTAACTTTACATGTACTTGGACCTCATCAATGGGATCCTCTGGTAAGGCCAATTTACCCAATAAAAGGATGAAAAAAATTGGTGTGGGACACACTTGGGCTATGTCGTCACCTGGTTCACATTTCAGTCTGATCTAGACCCATATGAGTTTGTCACTTTCTTTGGGAAGCCAGAGGGAAATTTCCTAACTAGACCACCTTTCTCTGAATTTGTTATACGGAACAAGGTAATTGAATTCGATTATTCTCCCACTTTTGTTCTTTCTTTCCTTCCTCATATGGGTTAGGTGAATTCTAATTTTTTAGTTTAAAATAGAGATTATAGAATCAGGATTCAGGAGTATATATCTCTAGTTTAATTGTAGACTAAGTTATAAGCAGAAAATTAGCATGATAACAACATGCCCAAATATCAAGCAGAAGAATTAAGCAAAAGAAGAAGAGCAGATGGGTGAGATGCTTTGTGCCTACCTTTCCTGTCCTGCTGTGTCCCATATCTGAGCTTTGATCAGTTTTTCGCCAACCTTTATGTTCCGGTAGGCGAATTCAACTCCGATGGTTGGTTTGGAATCAAGGTGGAATTCATCTCGGGAGAACCTTGAGAGAAGGTTTGATTTCCCAACAGCAGAGTCTCCTATCAGAACAGCCTTGAAGAGGTAATCACACTCGTCATCAAAGGCCATTTCAGAGGCCTTTGAATTATAGAGTATAAGGAGGAGAGGAGGGTTGTTTTATGGACTTTCAGAGCAAGAAGAAGAAGAAGAAGAAGAAGAAGAAGGCCCTGTTTTTTGTTCTGCTTTGCAGGTTATAAACTGTGGAAGAAGGGGAAAGAAGGAAGAAGAGGAAAAGGAGGAGCCATGGAGAAGTTGAGGAAAGTATTACAGGGAGAAAAAGATGGTGGTGTGTCTTGATCAAATATACAAATCCTAGATTTTGAGCTAGAAACCTCCAGGTTTGGGCTTTGAAGGTATTCACCTATTGCCTATTGGGTGACGACATGGATAAAGAGACAGAGACACTGTTCTATACTTGATCTTGTCAAGGCAATTGCTTCGAAATATAAACAATTGAGAGAGAGAGAGAGAGATGCTTGAAATTGAAAAAATAGGAAGCCAGGTATAATAATAGTAGGTAAAATCATGATTTTATATTCTCCCCTTTTAAATCAATCTTTTGGCGTAAGGATTTGTCCTTCTGACTTTCTCTTCTGGTCTGTAGTTAAACAAGCATGGATTTGCAAAACCTTCACAGTCCAAAATACAAATAATAACTAGGCTACTGCCATTAGAATAGTATAGATGGCCTGGGCTCCTCCCTCCCCACTCCCCAGTGTCCCACTTCCCAGGGTCAGACCTGGTCTGGCTCTGGCCCTGATTTAGTTTCATCGGGTTCCCAGGTCCAAAAACAGACTCCGGATCTCATGCTCATGAGAATCCTGCCCACTTCTTCCCACAATACATCACCCCTTGTGAATTGGGAACATCTTCCCCTGTATAATACTATGCAGAGGATGATCCTCACACCAACCTCACATCACTTGTAACCGTCAATTTGGAACATGTCGGAAGATATTCTCAATATACGGCTGAAATATAAGAGGTGAGTATAAGGACCATTCTGTGAGTTGAAAATCCCAACTCATGTCAGGTTTCATTGCCAATCTCAAACTACCCATTTGATAAGCAATCCTTGTTACTGGCTATGCTACAAGCAATAAATCATTACACTTGAGAAGAGGTTGGTAATAACTTGTATGATCACACACTTTGAGCCCTTGGCCGAAAAAAAAAATTTTGGGAGAATGACTGATCAGTCTAGGTCAGAATTATTTAGCCCCACCGTACAGGGGGATGAATTCTGACCGTGGATTGATGCCAAATCCACAGACAGGATGCAATTTATAGAGAGATTACTAATAAATTATGGGGGCTATAATTCAGAATTCTGCAGTGAGTTGCAAAGTACTTTTCCCAAAATTCATACTTTTGGTTTAAGGGCAAAATCTATGATGAATGGATTGATAAAAAGAAAAAAAAAATGTACTAGTTAACTTTGGTAAAGTCTTGGTGGTAAATATAATTTGTGAAATGTGAAAATACATCTTATGAAATACTAATGAAATAAATATATTTTAACAAAAAAACTCTCACCAAATTCCAAAATTTCAAAACATTTTATAGAGAATTAAAGGTGCCAAATGGCTGAAATTTGTGGAACCTAAAACCTTGCTTGCCTGCTAGATGCATGCAAGTAGTAGGCCCGGCTGGGTTTGCACTTACAAGGCCCAAACCTGCCAGAACCAGGATTAGGCAGGCTCTGTTTTTTTCAGTGGCCCTGAATCGCTACAAGGCTTCACCTGATGAAATAAAACTAAGCATTTTTTTTTGCTGCTTTCTTGAACGGATTAATGGTCCAGGCCACACCCGATTTCAGTTCTGAGTCTGATCTCTAGGGCTTTATCCAGGCGTGAACTGATCCTGCAGGCAAAAGGACTAATAGTGTTCCCTGAAGCAAAAATGGTCCCACACGATATTTCCAAATTGATACATTTACGCCTCCACTTCAACCCAATCTACCGAAAGGACCTGTGAATGAACAAGGAATATGTAACCTTTCTGTGACATCACAGTGCACTTTAATTATGAACATTTGTACCTCAAATCCCTCGGATTTCTTGAAGCAAACAAGAGAACAATTTTATTTGCCACGTGGTAGGTGATTATTGATCCAAAGTTTGCAAAGCTCTGACCCTAGGGGTGCAAATGGATCTGATCATGATATGATCCAATCCATTCTTATTTTGTTAGATTTGAATATCCCTATTTCAGATTTTGGATCACCCCTATTTGATCTGACTATCTCTCTCTATATATACATATTATTTATTTATTTATTTATTAATAGGGTAAAATACAAAAAACCTCTCCTAAAGTTTCTGACAATCATAAAAACCTTCCCTATAGTTTTAATTTAACAAAAGCCTCCCCTAGATTTTTAAAGAATGCAACAAAAACCTCCCTTTTGTTAATGATCAAGACAAAAAATGTTAAAGCAATGAACCAATTGTTCCCAATTACCTACTTTACCCTTTTACAAATTAGTTTGCATCTATTTTCATTGAAATACCCCTGTCGACATGTTATCCTCTCTCCCGCCGACCTCTCTATCCTCTTTTCCCATCCTAGTTTATCGAGTTTGAAAAGGAGGAACTCAGCACGCAATCTCTCATCCAAACTCTATTGATTCAAGGAGGGACACAACATGCACCTCTTAATCTCCACGACTGTCACCAAACCTCTGTCGACGACCCAAGACCAAAAGAATTTAAATTGAACCAGCAACTAAAACACTCTCAACTGTAACAAGAATGGTCGATCATGGGGTGACAACAAGCATCTCAGGTCGGTCAACCACCTTGGAAGGACATCCCCTCCGATGGAGACACGAAACACAATGATATAATTTCCCTTGCTAACTTCGTCCCCTAGTTTCCTATAGCACTTGCTTGAAATTCAGCTCTCTTCATCAGCATAGGATGCAAAATTGCCATCCTGCCTCGCTGTGAAGAAGTTCTCCCCAAAGAGATATCTTCCCTTTCCTATGCTAAACTCACCCAGACCTTCTTTTGTTTAATATGAATCTCTAAAACTTTGGAAAAAAAAACTTGTCTAAAGCCCCTCAAGACTAACAGTTTCACTGCATCCAACCTCTTCCAACTCAGATAGTCCTCATCAACAACCACAAAGTCCTCAAACGCATCATTTGTAACCTCTGTGAAACCAAGCTGAAACAACTTCCTCCTCTCATACTTTCTTTGTTATTATTCATGGAGCAAGATTTTAGAATTATTAACCCATTCTTCATGCATGGTGCATTATCAAGCTTCGGAGGAAAAATAAACATGCCTTAGCAAAATACTTTTTTGGGGGATTTCTGATATAAAAAAAGAGTTCTTCTGTTGGTCTGCATCAATGAATCCAGAAGAAATTAGGTGGTAGGCATGATCAAGATAGCATAGAGCTAATCTATCCTAGGAAGTTAACACATGGCCTGTCTGACAAGTCCCCTTGTTTGATATATAGATTGACCATATCGATCACCTCTTTGAATCAATCAGGACAGACAATTAGACATTGTATAGGATAACCCTTCGGATTACTTTTCTGGATTAAGGGCCTATTCGTTTGCTCGGAAGTCTGACATCTGAAAGTACAATAATTACATTAAGATGTATATTGGTATTGGTGAACTTTTCTTTCCTCTGAACTCTAAATGCAAAGAATGTTGTTCTGAACTCTGAATTCTGAATTCTGAAAATTATCAAATATCTATTTTGACCCCATATATTAGTGCTTTTGTTTGTCTTTTTGAGGGTATCATTGGAAAACAAAAAGTTGTATGATTGCACTTTAAGAGATAAGAAATAAGAGGAAACGAAAAACCATTTTTCTCTTCAAGTTAAAAGATTCTTCTTAAGAAATAAGAATTAAGAGGAAACGAATAGGCCCCAAATCTATAGATGTCAACATAGGGTATCCATGAGAACTGCCATTTTCATTCTTAAACCTGATTAAGCATTCTTAATCTCAAACCATTGCACCGGTTGATACTTCTCAAGCGATGTTGGAGACAAAGGCAACTCTAGTTAAGAGAGCACTAGATTCTTCCAAACATGGATTTTTAACCGAATTGGTTAGTTGAGATTGATTGAAATGACTTGCACCAAAAATAACAGTTGTAGGACTAGCCCACTAAAAAAAACATTGGACAAGATGGAATAGCAAAGAACCTAGCCCACTTTTTTTGTTCTTTCGCATCACTTAGGTGGGAAGTAGGAAAAGAATAGAATAGAAGGAAAAAAAAAACTTTTTTTCTCTTTGAAGAAACAAAGAAGGAAGAAGGTTGAAAGAAAGAGGGACAATGCCACAACAGGAAAGGGAGGTTTTTGTTGCTCAATTAGGATAAAATCATTAAATGACACCTAGGGGTAATTTTGTAACTATTGATGTTTTTTGTCTTGGTCATTGATGGAAGAGAGGTTTTTATTGCATTCTTTAAAGATCTAGGGGAGGCGTTTGCTAAAGTGGAACTATAAGGGAGGTTTTTATGATTGTCAGAAACTTTAAGGGAGGTTTTTCTATTTTACCCTTATTAATAAATATGTTATTTATATTACATTTTTAAATTATTTATTTTTAATAAAAAACATGTATATATGATAAAAATAGTTGAAACTGGATCAGATCATGATTTTTTATATTATTTATTTTTAAACTATTATATTTTCCTTTTCCTTTAATAATTTTGAATTTTTTTTAAATGAAACTGGACCGGATCAAATTTGGATATCCGACATCCTAATTGTATCCTAATTCAAATTAGTATTTATGAGATCCAATCGGATCATATTCAAATATAATTTAATTTGAATCCGATCCAATCCCTATCTGACCCATCTTCCCATGAACTGAGTTTGTATCTACTCCTCACAGAGTGCACCTCACACCGACCTCACAAACACGTTTCAACCATGCATTTGGAACACCTCCCCATGAATAAAAAATTATAATTACAGAGATGTTCCAAATGCACAGTTGAAACGTGTTGTGAGGCGCATTCTATGAGAAGCAAATCCAATCTCCCATGAACCCTGTTGGTTCAAGAGTCTAGATCTACTACCCACCCTACTTGTAAGACACTACAGCCCTCGTCAGAACATCTTAGCAATCCGGATCTCTTAATCACACCCACAAAGATGTTCAGATATGGTGTCTAGTGGGTAGGGTTTTTGTGGGAAGGAGATCCAAAGTCATGTTAAATCTGGATCTCCTACCCACAGGACACAATGAAAGATGTTCCCAATGTACAACTGTAGCGTCCTGTGGGTAGGTATAGGTATGATCCCTGTGAGTAGGACATCTGAACAAAAGGGTTCATAGTTAAGATGATCATTGGCATCATTCCCATGGAAAAGACATGCTGCAAACTGCAGGCTCTCACGTGTGCTCTACTCTTTTTCTACTAACCTCTATTTATGGATGAACCAGACTACAGTGGCTGTCCCTTTTATGGTGAGAATTTATTTTTCCTCTCCATTTCCATCAACACAAAGTACAACCTCATTTTTTCTTTTGGTATTCAGTGCTATGAACCACTAAACCTCCCCTTGACCCCTTTTTTCTCCAG